AAAAGAAAAAGAGGAGCTGAGTGAAAGGAGAAGCTGAGGTTAAGGCAATTTTTGCCATTCTTAGCTGATATGCGCTCACTGTGAAGCCTTTTTCTCTATTTCAGTATAAGACTTAAAATTTTCCACTTACTATGCAAAGTGTTATTCATGTGAAAATTATCCATGTGCTGTTTATTATTTTAATCAACAAAAGCTCTAGAAGTTTTAGATTTACAAAAGGCTTTGCACAAATAAAGGCAAGGTACCAAAAAGGACCCACTCTACACCTAAGGCAAGACTGTCACACAGAGAGCATGCCGAAGAATGAGCTAGAGAAACCCAGCTGAAACACTTCACCTCCTTTATAATACAGAAGTGAGGAAAAAGGGAACAATTTTTAACTAAAAGAGTTGACAATTTTATTTTCACATTTCACAATACAAATGAAAATTGTTTTTTTCCCCTCAACTACTCCCCTCCAAAACTATTCTCTCTCTGATAGGAAGGCGGGAGCAAGTCTTCCTTGTCACGCTGTTAAAAAAACATCCAGAGTCACAGCACCACAATCTCCTGGTGAAGTAGAACGAGTAATATAAAACTGATATAAAGAGGCTCCCCAATCGCCTTATCTGTCTGGTCGAGTCATCCCTGGTCGAGTGGGCACCATCATGGGACGGGCGGGAGGTCTCATCATTGGAGGCCCAGGCATCATTGGCATGTGGCCTCCCATAGGCGGCCTCATTCCAGGAGCTGCAGGCGAAACAAAGAGACGGAAAAAACAGAGTCAGAAAATACTACTTATGAGAGCTTGATGGAACTTCAATTAAAAACAAAAAAGTAGCCCCCCGCCCTGCAAAATGCTGGAAAAAAGACATACTTGACAGAAGAAATGCAACAAATTCATCACATCTGTAAATTACTTAGACATTCTCATACAAAAAAACAAAAAGGTCAACACAAGAACCATATGGGAATCATGATCTAATGATAGTAAGGGGGAAACTATTAAAAGATTGCTTTCCAGAAATCACCAGGGACTAGTTCCCTAAATTGACCTTTTTCTCACTCAGGGAAATTCACAACTAAGTCACATTTTATTCAGTCAGTTCTTTTAATCAGTTCTATCCACCATATAACCAGGAGCTATTTCATGAATGTACACAGGCACAGAGGACAATCTTACCACTAAGCGTTTGTTCGGAGTTGTAGGAAAGGTGAGCAGGAGGCCCATGCTGAGAACCTGTTAGTAACCATACTTAGCTCAAGTCAAGAAAAATAATAGCAATAACGTGATTTATAACAATTAGCACATACACACACAAATCTGATTTTTCTAATGCATTTTAGAAACCATTAATGATTTTTTTTAAGTGTCCCAGCAATATACCAGCCAAATAAATGAGCTAGGGAAGGGAGGGCAAGCAGACAGGTGGAGGCTGGGGAGGAATAGAGGCAGCTCATGGGACTGGTAATGTTCTACTTCCTCAGCTGGGTGGTGGGTTCATGGTACTCAGTTTATTATTATGTCTCATATAATTTTCATCTTATATCTTTTTAAATATCAAATTTTACCTAATTTATTTTTAACTAGATCATTTTGATTAAAGGCTTACAATAAATGGTTCAAGAGGAAACTATTTCAAACTGAATACAGCCTTATCACTAAAAGTAAAACACAAGTATATGCAAAGACACAAAATTCAACAGGTACAGAATAATTTAAACAGAAACAGTAACACTAAACTTCTAAATACTTTGTTAAAAATCCCTCCATAATATAATGTGCATTCAGCATTTCTTAGAAGAAACTGATCTAGACCAAAGATTAAAATGAGGCACCTGAAAACTTGATTTCTTTGCTCTCTATAGTACATTAAATTTTAATTAGTTGTCAATATTGGCAACTAATATGTCTTACTACTAGTATGTAAATCTAGATTCCTTTTTTCAACTTTTCATTATGGAAATATTGAAACTTACACAAGAATAGACTATAAGAATATAATGAACATCCATGTACCCATCATCCAGCTTCACAATTATCCACCCACAGTCAACTTTGTTTTATCTCATCCCCATCCATTCATCCCTGCCCACCCACCACGTACTCAATTATTTTACTGCAAATCCCATAATTATATTATTTTATCCTGGCTAAAAACAACAACAAGAAAATACTCAGGAGAACTGGCAACACCAAGCCTGTATTCTCAAATGTCAACCACAGGCTGACACTGATACTAGAAGCCTTTTTTAGACAAGTCATGCATTCCCCAGTTCACATCCCTAAGCCCTCTAGGAATCTGAATTTGTAACCCCAGTTTAAGAAAGCAAGAGACATCTCAATCATTCTGATTGTGTTTTGGGTTCACAAGACAGAAAGGCAGGAACTTTCTACCTATTCTCTCTCATCCCTCTAAATGATACCCACAGCAAGCATACTGAATGCTTCCGGCTAGGAGGCTACTGTAATACCTTTGCACCTTGTCTTACCAGTTCAGCGTAGGCTTCTTACGTCAGTTGTATTTATTCTAATTACATAATTTAATTATTCTATAAACCAATAAACTATGAATGTAGGAAAATACTGATTCTATGAAGACAAAGCTGATACTAAGAAAGACACAGGCAAATCATCCCCCAAAAGTACAAATTCGGTAGGCAAGACCATCATAAAAAACTGGAACTAGTGGGAAAGGGTCTACTTCAGTGGTAAAGTGCATGCTTAGCATGTATGAGGTCCCAGCACTACCAGTAACGTAAATAAATAAATAAACCTAATTACCTCCCCTCACCAAAAAAATACATTAAAAAAAACACTAAATTTTAAAAATTGGAACTAAATTGCCTCACCCCTCTAATCACTTTAAAGAAAATGAAACTAAAGTTGGTATGGCTTGTTGGTTTCTGTAAGAAATACATGGTGTTCCAATGAGCAGACTCATTCTCAAAGCAAAGGCCCATGTATGAGAAAAGTCTGCAAATTAATGTACATTTATGTTTAAATAAAATGTCTGAGGTACAAGGATTTTTTTCCCTTCCTGGAATAAAAGACTACCACACCTAAGACCTTTTTCATATACACTAATTTGGCCTAGTTACCCTGTGAGATTAAATCAGCAACAGGGGGTAGCTCAGCTCCAAATCAAACTGAGAAAAGCAGCAGTACAAGTATACATCTACCCTTCCCTTTATTATAAATGGCCAAAAGTCAAGAGGAGCGTGGGGAACAAGAGAGAGGAAGGAAAACAAAAAAAGAGACAGTCTTACCCTGCTTTTAGTAGCTCAAGGTCTTTGGATACCATCCAATTACACTGATAAACCAAATAATTCTCTTTATCATTATACATTCACCATTTGTAATTTGTTGCAATAACACATTTAGACAGCTAATTAGCTAATTAATTCTTCCATTTAAATGGAGAACTAAAAGACTAGAGATTCAAACCTACCAGGTCCCACTGGCATCATCCCAGGAGGCGGAGGGCCCATCATTGGCATCATGGGAGGGCCCCCCATATGGGGTGCTGGCATCATACCAGGGCGAGGAGGACCCGCTGAAATAAAGAATGGGGCCTCAGGTTAAGATATGCTTGCATATTAACATTTTTTTCTTCTTAATGATATTTCATGATCTGGCCCAAATTCTGTAACAATTCTGTAACTTCTCACAGTTTCTTTTATAGTAGTAGATCCACAAAAACCAGTATATCACAAAACTTGAGTTACTTTATGGCTAAAAAACAAGAACAAGCCTGCCTAGACAGAAGTATAAAATGAAGACAAGTTTTCCAGGTTAAAAAAATTTCAAAAGTTTAATTTTCAACAGGTGGGTATTATACCCTCTGCAGAGCTCTTGACAAAAAACTGATGAACTTAATCTACAAGTACCTAATTTCAAATCTTTTTTTTTCAATCAAAACTTAGGTTTAAGAGTCTTTTGAAATATGAAAATGTATATACAGAGATATCCCTAACAGTATTATTCAGAATAGCAACAATGTGGAACAACTTATATGTCCAGCAACAAGAAAACTCTGAGGCTAATTATGGTACATTCATACCACTGACAATTCTGTTAAAAATAATTGGGGGGAGGGTATAATTCAAGTGGCAGAGCACATGCTTAGCATGCACGAAGTCCTGGGTTCAATCCCCAGTACCTCCTCCAAATAGAAATAAATAAATAAATTTAATTACCTCCCCCTTATAAAAACAAAAAATAAAAAAGAAGTAAAAATAATGGCGTTAAGTGCCAGCCAGTCACGACAGAGTAGGAGAGTAAGATGACCTTAGAGCTGCTGTGAGCTGAGCCCTGACCAGGTCCCAGGATGACAGGATTCCGAGAAGGGTTTGCTGGGTAACTAGGGGTCCACCTGCATTAGTGTGCAACTATTATAAACTTCTCTGTGTTTACATCCATGATTATTTGCAGGACTGAGTTTAGGTCTCTGAGTTCAATTTCAATCTGAACTCTTCCAGGAGTGCCAAAAAACTTATGGCCTAGTTACTTAATCTCCTCCTGTCTGTCATGCAGGAACAACAAACCTTCCCAGAGAGGACAGGCCTTGGATCCACTCCCTTTGAACTATTCAATTTTTGTCTTTCACAAGGTGTATACATTGGTGTTAGGTAGGTTAGAAGATAGGGGGAAAGACTGAGGAATTTATCAACTACTTCAATCCTCCAGTGTTGTATTTATAGCAGTAAATAGTTTATGGACTCAGCAGTACCTCTTCATGTATCAGCTCATCTAACCACAGGTACATTCTGAGCTTTCCATTCAATCTGTCTCAGACGCACTTGGGATGCCACAAATATAATACCTTAGTAATAATGCAATCAGAAGATAACTCTAAAGATATTTCAGAAATTATAATGCTAAAGTTGTTCTTTATTACCGTCCATGTATTCATTTAATGAGTATTTGAAAGCCAACTGTGAGATAATCTAACAAAATCAAAGGATAATCTGTCCAGTTACACCCCTTAAGATAAAAACTTTATAAACTCACGGAGACTGGGGGGAGGTGGGATCATTGCCCCTGCAGGAGGAGGAGCAGAGAATGGAGTAGGAGGTATCTTTCCTTGTTGAAATGCAGCAGCTTTGGAGAGAGTGAGAAAAAAACAACACACAGTGAATAAGAATTCAACAACCCATTTATTTTTACTAAAATAACTACTTTCTTTTAAATCTTTAACAGTCCCTTTATTTCAGTGTAAAGTGCACTCATCTAAGATTACTACATCATGGCCTCTACAATTTTTAAATCAACTTTAGGTATTTACCAGCTAAAACTGCAATTAATTGGTTTATTGATTTGGCTTTTTTAACCAGTTTTTATTTAGTCAGCATTTCTATAGCTGAATTAACTGAGAGACTGGAGTGAAAACCTCCCACCTATAAACGTCTTACCAAAGAGAAGCAGTCATTAAGGACAGGAGGGTATAACTCAGTGGTAGAGCACATGCTCAGCATGCACAAGGTCCTGGGTTCAATCCCCAGTACTTCCATTAAAATAAGTAAATACATAAACATGATTATCTCCCCCACAAAGCAAAACAACAACAACGATGATGACGATGAAAAGCAGTCATTTTTAATCTGTAGATGCGGTTTATACTCAATTCAACCCACTCATAGTTTTGTTTGAAAAATGTGATACCTGCCTAGAGGCCAGGCTTTGTAAAACTTCAGTCCTTCCTATATATATGCTTTCCTGCATGAAAACAGTATGCTACTTCAGTTTACTACTTTGTGAAATAACACATCAAGCTAAGAGATGTGAAAGAAATAAAGATTTCAATGTAAGAGCCTGCCCTGAAGGAGATTATGATCTTAAAAAATGTCCAATACAATCACCTTTTAATTTTTCTTTCAGACAATATGAGGCACAAATGAAAACAAAAGAAACTGAAGATCATGTATATTTGGTTTGAAAAAGGAGTCATAAATAAATACTAAAATACACACTCATAAAGTCAATTCCTAAATTTGTTAGTCCTTCCCAGTTCAGTGCAGTCTGCAGCCCAGATATTCCTCCATTCTACTCCACCCCCACCAGTGCAAAGGAGATCAAGTTACTTAGGTAGATCACTAATGATTCATATGGACCAGATCCAAAAAGTGACCTAGAGTACAGATGCAGGAACAACTACCGACATGCCTGTAAACAGAGCCTATGCTCTCTCAGGGATCATATCCCCCAGTAAGGTTTTCCAAGCCATTGAATCAACAGCAGACTAAACATCAACATAATCGTGACCATCATAAGGTATGTCCCTGAGGGTTTGCCTCCTCTCCTCTAAAAGTCTTCCATCAAAAATGTTTACTCATCCTAAATTATTTTGCCGAGTATAAAAAAATAACAAACATAATGCTAACCTTTAATGCAAGAAATTTCTAACATCTTTTCAAATAGAGGGGAAAGTACATTATAAAAATTTTCCAGGTGAAATGGGACAATGTCTAAGATTTGCACTAGCCTAAACAACAAAAATGTTCCTAATTAAACAAAAAAAGTATCATATGTACAATAGGGGTCCAAAATACAGCCAGACTGTTTCACCACTTCAGTTACTTACTTTTTGACCACCTATCTTTTCCAGGACGACACAGAATAAAACTCTTAAACTCTCTGAGGAGAACTACAAACTCACCCCCTACCTTTTCCTACTGTAAAAGGAACAGTTCTAAAAACTATAGATCATTACAAAGGAGGTTTTATATAAATCTGTTATGAAATGTGGCCTACATCAATAAAGAAATACCGGGCAGCTCATTCTTCTCTGCCACACTTCCCAGTCTACCCAATACCTGATTGCTGTAACCTCAATAATTAATATTAATGTGTTCCTATATCCCTGGGAAACCAAAGACCTTCACTTCTTTCATTCAATGCATCAGAATGCTCCTATTTATCATTCAGAATGAGTTGCTTCTGTGGAAAACAAAAGAGAGACAGGGACAAAAAAGAATGGGACCATTCTACCACATGAGAACAAAAGACTGAAACGTACTTGTTTTGTCAATCAGGCTCTGAGCCTGCTCTTCCATCCATTTCTGATAGTAGTCTTTCACATTCTCTTTGTGTTTCCTACCACTGCAATGTGTCTTTCTCACAGATGGCTGTAAAACAAAAAGGTCATATCAGACAAAGAAACAAATATCCAAAATCAGAAAATTTTTAAAGCCTTACCTTTACATAGGTAGACTGGCTACCTTTAGCAGCTCCAGCTGGGTGCTAAAGCATCACTTAAAAACTTATCTAGCAATGTACTGTGGTAATTTATCTACTATATTAATTATCTAAACTGGAGTCAGCAAACTATGGCCCATGGGTGAGCCATCTGAATTTGTGGAAAAAAGTACTGGAACATAGCTGCATTAATTTGTTTAGGTATAGCCTTGTCTTCTCTCTGCAACAGCACAGTTGAGTAATTACAACAAAGACCATATGGTCCACAAACCTAAAATAATTACAATCTGACATCTGAAGAAAAAGTTTGCAATCCAAACAAGTTTATACTGTATAGCACAGGGAACCATATTCAATATGTTGTAGTAACTTATGATGAAAGGAATATGAAAATGAATGTATGTTCCTATATGACTGAAGTATTGTGCTGTACATCAGAAATTGACACAGCATTGTAAATTGATTACACTTCAATAAAAATGTAATTTTAAAAAATAAAATAAAATATACCACTAGGGAAAAAAAAAGTTTGCAATTCACTCATCTAGGACACAATGTCACTTTTATGCTCTTTCCGAGGTTATTCTACAGCAAAATAATATTGCTCACATATATTTAAATAACAATTTATGGGAATATATTTTTTTAAAGGACCACTGGTCTAGAATACAGACTCTATGTGAATCACACACAGCCCTTTGTCTCTAGCCCCCTAATCCTTTTGTTTTTTAACAGCTTTATTGAGGTAAATGACATAAGATAGATTCCACACACTTAACCTTTTATATTTTTAAGTTAACATTTATTTATTTAGCTCTTACTACATGCCAGACACCATGCTATGTACTTTACAAGCAGTGTCTCAGTCCACATAAAAACCACATCTGTATGGCACAGGGGAATAATCAGAAAGAATGAATCACTGATACGTGCAATATGGACAAATCTCAAAAACATGCTGAGCAAAAGATATCAGACACACACACAGAGTACGTAAGATTCCATTCATATGAAGTTTAAAACCAGTAATAATGATCTTTAGTAATAAAAACCAAATCACTTGGGGTCAGGGGTGCAGGGGATTGACTGCAAAGAAACACAGGAGAACTTTCTGCAGTGACGAAAATGTTCCATTATCTTGATGTATGTAAGTCAAGTTGTAATCATCTGACAAACAGTCAAACTGTACACTTAAAATGTATGCATTTAAATGAAAATAAATTATAATTCAATAAGCTGATTAAAAAACCACAAGGATACTATCTTCTATTTATGCTTAAAGACTTATCTCAAAACACATAGACAGCAGCAAACCAAGGCCTAGAATCCAGATCTCATTCAGATGCTCCTCATGGCTGCCTACCTGCTTCCTACCTCTCTTCATATGACTGCTTCAGCGGGAGCAGGTGTGACCAATGTCATGTTAGTAGAAACTGTCTTTTCATGGTCTACATTTCAAAATACTGTTCCCTGTCTCCCAAACCACTGCTTATACTAATACAATAATGATGCCCGAAGCCTAACAACAAAATTATGCCTAAAAACCAGCAGAAGGCTCAAAAGTTAGAGTACTGAACATTTTATACATTTCAAAGTCCACCACAGGAAATGTTCAATCGCTAGGAAACTTCATATTTTCACAAGATACCATGTTAGAACAACAGTTTTACGAGGGTTCCCGATATTTATCATAAAGAGATATTTATCATAAAGTTACTTTTCAATTCTCTGAATTCTGGCATTAGAGAGGTAAGTGAGTATATGACAATACAGCACTGGAAAAGGATAGAAAGGCATAGCCCCCCCCACACACTAACAATTTCAGAAAATTATGGCTAGGAGTTTGAACTAGGAGTTAAGAATACAAAACCAAACCAAACAAAAAGACCAGGAGTCTACAGGCAACCTACTACCAATACCAACTTACTGGAGAAGTCTCCTCCAGGACCATCTGTAGTAACACTTACAACTATTATTTTTTCAAGAGGAACAACTCTACTTACATGTTCTAAAAATCTATTAATGCTGAACTACATCTTACCATGTGCTAGAGAGAATTCCAAAGGAAGTGACAACAGAGAAATCATTGGTTAGGTTCTTGCAGGTACTATTCAAGATGACATGATGATCAAGAGTTCTGATTTAACCAGGTCTCTACAGAGGCAGCAAGCTAGAGAGCCGCAGTTCTCAAGGTGTGGCTCACAGGCACCTCTCAAAGTATAAGACAGACCAGTGAATTTTAACATAATAGAGCATCTGATATGGTTTCAGACTCCACACTGCAACTAACCATGTGTTGAGTTTTGGTGCAGTAATACAAAGCATTAAAGAATATCCACAATTGTCTAAAAATGCTATTAAAGTACTCTCATATTCATGTGAGGCTGGATTCTTCACACACTTCAACCAAAACATAGTGCAAAAGATTTAATGAAGATGAGAATTCAGCCAGCTTCTATTAAGACAGACATTACAGAGGTTTCCAAAAATGTTAAAACACCATTCTTCATACTAAATTTTTTGTTTTGGAAAAATAGCAATTTTTCACTTTTAAAATGTTATAAGTCAGTAACTTTTAAAAGCGTAAAAGGACTCTGAAACAAGAATTTTGAGAGCTGCTGACATAGAAAACTCTGGAGTTACACTGTCTAGGCTTATCTTCCAGCTCTATTCAACTTTCTGGTTTTATAATATCCAGTCAGTTATTTACCAACACTGCCTCAGTCTCCCCCTCTGTAAAATGGGAGATAATACTAACGTCACAGGATTATCATGAGCATTTAACAAAATGATACATGTAAAACATTTGGAACACTGCCTGGCACACAATATTCAGTCTTAATTGCTGTTATTATTTGCTAAGCCGTTTTTAATCAAATCAAAGTACTCAATTCCAAATTTAGGCATTTCTTTCCAATTTAATCCAACATTTGAGAATCTTGGACACAATCAAATACTTGAACTTTAGGACATTTTCCTAGAATTTTCACTTGTCATATAAATTTTTGCTACCTTCAAGTTTGCTAAAGCTTTGTTATTTGGGGTCACCACTGAAAACACTGACTGCTGGAAGACTAATAACTTCAAATTATGAAGACAGTTGCAGGAAGGGTGGAAAAACAAATACCCTGAGGTATTTTCTCCAAGCAGTAGCCCTTAAATCTTAGCAAAATGAAAAGCATAAATTTCAAAATTAAAAAAAAACTAATTAAACATAAGGTTTTTTTAGGTTCCCTTTCTTTAAATTTATTTTTAAATTGAAGTATAGTTGATTTACAACATTGTTAGTTTCAGGTATACAACACAGTGATTCAACATTTTTGTAGCTTATACTCCGTTTAAACTTACTATAAAATAATAGATATAATCCCCCTGTCCTGTATAATATATCTCTGTTGCTTACCTATTTTATACATAGTAGTTTATACCTCTTAATCCTATACCTCTATTTTGCTCCTCCCCACTGGTAACCACTAGTTTGTTCTCTATATCAGTTGAGTCTGTTTCTGTTTTATTATATATATTCGTTTTATTTTTTTTAACTTCCACAAATAAGTGGTAACAGAGTATTTGTCTTTCTCTGACTTAGCTCACTAAGCCTAATATTAGGTCCCTCCACATTGTTGCGAATGGCAGACATATACAGTTTTCTTCAAACTGAACAGAAACACTACTTACAGAGTCATGGGTGAGGTATGTATCGCAGTAGTCACAATAAAACCTGGAAAGAGGAGGAAGGTAGACAAAAAGAGAAGATGACAACCGGTTAACAGATGCCCATCCAACAAGGAGCTGTTCATTGAAGGTAAAAAAATTAAGTAAAAGACGTATTCAAGATTCGAAGATGTCAAAGCGTCCTGAGATAAATCAAGCTTTTTGGCTGCCTTACGCGGAGTCGACCTCCACACTCGGAAAAGAGTATTTAGAGCTTCCGATCTCCCTCCCTCCCCGAGACCCTCACACTCCCCTAGAGGCTCCAGGAGCCAGAACCCGCCCTGAGCTGCCCCGCAGGGACACAATTATAGAGATCGAGGCCGCAAACATCCTTAGACTCAAGGCCCCACTCACTTCGGCATGTTGCTCTGTAAGCCGTTGGTCACTCCGTTCGGCGCCGCCGGGAAGTGACGCACAAAGTAAGCGCCGGCGTGGGGTGGAACAGATTAGTCAAACATGACGTCAGAAACCCCACCCAGTCATCCAATCCGCCCGCGGAGTCGCTCTTGGGAAGCGTTATCCTCATCGGCGGCCGAGCGAGGGGTGGGGCTTGTCCTGCACCTCCCTTCACCTAGAGGAAGGCGGGAAGGGAGGGTGGTACTAAGGATCCCTGCAAGGTTCAATCTACGTCCATGCCCTTAGATTCTTGATGATCCCGAAGTGTGGTATTCATCCTTTCTTTCGACAGTTATCTAACG